CTGATTATGCATTCGTCAAAGGCACTACCGTCGGGACACTTAGACTAGGGTTATCACGCATACAGAAGCTATTGCGATAAACATTTATACGAAATAACAAGTGCGATAATTATAGATTCAACATAAATGAACCCACCTGATAGTAGCGATAAATTTCCCAATATATGATTCGAATGGTAGGATTTGAGATCAACACCTCGAGACACCTACACGAAATCAAGATAACTCTCGATTATTACTAGTCCAACAAACACACAAACTTAGTCGAATCCGTCGACTAAGTGGCTCGTGGAAGATTCTCGTGGAATTATGGAACAGTCGACTCGACTCGAACCAAATATGGAAACAAACACAAAAAGGACGACACACCAAAGACTCATCCACTTAACTCAACATTCACACCACTTCCATAACATGAAAAGAGGACTTCATATATTAAAGATCATGCCCAATTTCAAAGGTTAACATGTTAAACAAATAAAACGGGTAAATAGACAATTAATACTCATTTTCTAGATGACCAGGTAAATGAACGAATTTAGATATGAAATTTGGACACATAATAAACATTGCTGAGAACATCAAATTCACGAAATTTCAGCCTTACCACCTAAACATGCGATTTTATAAAATTAATACAAGTTTTCAGCAAAAAAAGTATGTATTTAAATGACTAAGCAAATGAATGAATCTGAACCTAATATTTTTATAAAGGTAAATCTAGCATGCTGTGAGTGTTATAAAAACAATTCATGCATAAACAATAATCAAGCGAATTATGATAATTATTCTAAGTTTCATCAGAATACACGTTTTTGATAAAAACTCAACAAAATGAATTCAAACATTTCTGGGACTTTCACACCATCAATTATCATGTCAAATAAGCATTCTAACCATGTTATATGAATTAACATCTAGAATTCGATCTTACATGAATTTTACAACATTCAGCAGATTTGAGAAAATAATTATTTACCTAGGAAAATGACCTCCAACAATTATGAAAATTTAATACAACGTACAACTATATCAAGGGAGCAACATATCCAAATTTCATAATTTTTGGGCAACAATACGATTCATCATGTATTTTACAAGTTGCAGTAGACACATCGTTTTTAAAAATCCATAACTTGAAAAATACAACTTCAAATTGAGCAAAGTCAAAACCGTTGTGATCAGGACACAAAGATGTTCTATTTTCCAAGAGATTCCCACGAGATCATTTTAGATCATAAGATTTTCGAATTTATCCTTATGGATCTAAAACGTACACTACATGAAATAACAATTTGAATAACAATTTATCCAAATAATTCCCTTTTATCATGTATTCATATAATTTCCAGCAATATAACACATAATTACAAGGGATTTTTGAAGTTTAGTGAAAAGAATTCACCAAACACCAAAGGGAGAAATAAACGAGTTCGGTTTCGGAAAGGCCCAGAGACGATCAAGTCCTAAAGGCGGGGAAATCGTCCGCTTGTGCTTGCGTTTATAGGCGGCTCGCACGTCGAGGGTGGTAACCGGAGATCCTTGATGACTCGTGGCTGAGGGAAGTGGCGTCGAACGTGCCAAAGGGCTGGGCGTGCTCGTTGTTGAGCGCAGGGCTCAGGGCGCGGGCGTGCGGCGTCGCGTGCGGTGAGTCGGTCACGCGGCGTTAGTGAGGTGGAGCTCCGGGGGATTTTTCCGACAACAAAAAGGAGAGAAAAAGGAATATGGGAGCTCTGAATTTTCTCAAAGAGAAGAGAGGGAGAGAGTGCCGAGAGAGATAGAGTGAGAGAGAGTGAATAGGAAAGCGAGAGAGAGCTTCCTATTTAATGAAATCAAAATGTAACCCCCTCCACATAAAATCTGGTCATAAAGAGAGTGATGAGGGTCAAACGCTGATTTAATGGGATAGGGTGTTACATAATTTGAATTTAAAATTCAAAAAGAGGTGCCATGCGTGCAAGGATGGGAGGATGGCGGGTCGGGCAGCGCATGTGGGCCTAGTGTGTGAGGCGTGCGCGCGGATTTAGAAAAGCCCCTGTTGGCGTGCGATCGATAATTAAATGCCCGACTCGGTTCGAACATTAATTAAATTAATTCGGTTCGATTAAAAAATAAATACACCTAGACAAATAGGAGCATATAATCACGTAGAAATTAATTAATCGAGCCCAAAATAATTAATTCGAATAAAATATAACGATTAAATATCTCAAATAAATCCGGAACAAATGGGGTGCTACACAGGGAGTAGGTGTCCAGAGGAAGGCAGGATCGGGCCTAACATAAACAAATTTTTGTTTCCATTTGGGGAAGTTGGAAGGGATATCGGTGATGAAATGGGCATTATTACGGCTCTTAAGATAGAGCCCTTGAGCTTGCTTCAAGGGTGTATAACTGTAATGGAAAAAACCTAGGTCGAATTGACCTAGGTGGACATGGGAAAGAATAACAAAGGTTGAAACTGGTGGCATTTGGGGGGAGCTGGTTAAAGGAATCCCGAACCACTCGCAATCGACCACCTCTTGACAAAGAGGGAAACGGATGCCAAGTTTGGATTAGATCTCGAAAAAGGTGTAGTAATCTTTCGATGGATTGTCATAAGTGTTCTTGGGACTAGGGGATATGAAAGCCCAACCAGGGGGGTTGCCAATGTCATCAACCTCTAACCACCCCGCTATGAGAGGAGATGGAGATGCCTTCCTTAAAGATGAGGCTTTGGTCGATTTTTTCTTCTGAGCAGGTTTAGAAGAAATGGCAGAAGGATTTGATTTGAGTTTGGACTGAGAAGTAGAGGTTTGTAACGCCCCGTTTTATTTTAAAGAATTTACCGAATTTATTTATAAAAATCAGAGTTTATTTTTCGCAAAATCTCAATTTAAAACTTAATATTTAACGGCCTCTACTTAACTACCAAAAAAAATTAAACAATTTAAACAACTAAGAAAGATCCACACATGTATAAAACTAACAGTTCAAGATAAAATCCAAAATATTCCTAGGTCTCAAACCATTAATGCAAAATCAAATACTTCAACAGAAATTCAATGGTCTAACCAACATGTTCAAAATAAATAAGGCGGAAGCATAATTATTCTGAGTTAAACAAATGGTCTATCTAGGTAATAAAAGCGGAGGCAAGTAACACACAATTCCAACGACCACCACTTGATCGTCTCTCGCTACCGCCGCCAACCAATGCTCAACCTAAAAAGATAGGAAGAGGAACAAGAGGACATAAAAACAAATGGGGGTGAATACAACCATCATACTCACCATTACCGCACCATATATTTCGCCTAAAGATTCATAACTATAAATAATGTATGCATAAAATCCAGATCTAATTCTCTATTAGGCACTTTTCGCAAACCTCCTATGTACATACAACAAACCTTCCGACCAGACATCGGCAAGGATGTAATTGGAAACACTCCCACCCCGGATGCAACGGGCATATGATCTTATCCAGGAGACAGGCATATGATCTTATCCAGGAGACAGTGAAGTTGAAATACCCCTCTGCCCTACACGGATTCGGGCGTTCAGACAATCCCCTCCGCTCTACACGGATTCGGGCGTTCACCTCCCGGATACAACGGGCAGGTGACTTCCATTGATTATGCATTCGTCAAAGACACTACCGTCGGGATACTTAGACTAGGGTTCTCACGCATACAAAAGCTATTGCGGCAAACATTTATACGAGATAACGAGTGCGATAAATGTAGATTCAACATAAATGAACCCACCTGGATACCGGAGTAGCAAATAGTACACAAGAGTTGGTAGGATGAGAGCACGACTCGTCAAACACCTACATTTTATTATTAAATCCTATTATTATGATGGTTTTAATTGAAATGCTGAACAACACATTAAAACATATATAGCACATATTATAGATAAGAACACATAATTTGGCCAAAATAAATAGATAAGATCACATAAACTTTATAACTTCTCTGAAACCACATTCTCTCGAATAAGACCAACACTTAGATCATATTTTAAGAAAAATTTTAAACTCACAAATAAACACATATTAACAACAACAAAATAATTAAAGGTAAATGCACATAAGACCACTCTCAACATTTGGATAACAACAATTTTATATCAAAACCAAAATATAACAAAAGTTAGTGATTTAAATGTGAATCCATCGAGTACAAAAACAAATGCTCCCAACATACTCCTTTAGATTTTCCTTTCCAAATATAAAGACAATAACAAAACCTTAGCAAATTTACAAAATCAAAAGAAATTTGACAAAGCTCAAGTTTCTTAATAAAATCAAAAGAAAAAGAGCATGACACTCACACAAACCACATACTAACAGCAATTCAAACTCAAAATATACACATAAGAAAACAACATTTTCACACACAAGAAGCTCAGCATATAAATCACAACGAAAAATGCTCAAAACATCAGGTACTAACATGCGCACAATAACACAAAAATCCCATCATTTTCTTAAAAGGGTACCAAGTTTAAACCTGCCATATTTTAACTCTTTTAAACTGAAAATAAAGCTTTGAGAATGTACTCATTTCAGCATGCCAAACTCAGCCATAAATCACATAATTTCATCATAGAAAACGCATGGGAAGAGGACAGCAAATGAAGGCCAAGAAAAGCTCCACCCAATATACTCAAAATAATCACCAATCATATGATAATTTAGATAAACAAAAACAAACAGACTAACTCAGACCTCACATTAGCAGTAGCATACATCAATCACAAACGTATGAGGTACAAGCAACGTTGTTCCAATACAACTCGAAAGATCCGAATTTCACACAAAGGAATCTAAATTCACGAAGATATAAGGGAAAACTCGAACTTCACCTCGCTTCGGAATCTACACACGAGGATGGTAGGGTCTGAAAAAGGGTTGTACGAGAGCTCGATGCGCAGCAAAACACACGGTGACTTGCTAGGCGCATTCAGTAGAGGCTGTCAGGGTGCAGCTGTCTCCGCCGGCTCTCGGCACGTTACCGTTTATGGTTCGAGGTGGCTAAACGAGCACGAACAGGGGCTCGTCTCAACCCGCGGCTGTTGCTCGAGGGTCTGCTACTCGAGGATACGCAGCTGAAGCTCCTCGACGGGGTGCTGCTGTGAACGACGGCTGGAAATCGAAGGTTCCCGAGTTGCCGAAGGACGGGCTGAACAGGGCTGCCGTCGAGAGCTCGAATTCGTCGAACAATGACCGTGCTCGGGGGCAGCCGTGGCCAGACGGAAATTGAGGCCCGACATGCCAGAGGTCGAGGCCCGTCGGACGATGGTCGAGCGTGCGAACGTTCGCCGGTCCGAGCTTTGAACTCCGGGAGATTGTCGTTGGGCTGGGGGTGAAACGATGGCGATGGAAATTCACGGTGGTGACTCTCGCTGTTCGCCCACCACGGTTCGTGATCTTTGCGTCTCCGGCGGATTTTGGTGGCCCACGCACGATCTGGCTACAAACTGGTCAGAGAGACGGTACGCCGGCGAGAGGAAGTTGAGGCGGGTCGCCTTGTGGTATCTGCAAGCCGGTTGTGGAGAGAGCGTATTTTGAGAGCGGAGTGAAATTGAGAGGTGTCGATCTGATTTTGCCGTGAAAGGTCAGCCCTCGGCTGCTATTCTGTTCGCCGGAAATGGTTGGGGCTCGCGAAGGTCGAAGCCCTGTCGGAGGTCTCGGGTCGCCGCTCGTCTTCTCGCCGGAGAGAGCTGGAGCTTCAGGTCACCAGAATTTGATGCTGGGCTGCGACGATTTGGGAGAAAGCGAAACGAATAGACGAGATTTGGGATTTTTCTGATCGGTATTTGGGAGAAGGCGATCTGCTAGATGCGAGAAGAATAGAGGAACAATTTTGAACGATGAAGAGGAGTGAAAGGAACCCACTGATTTGGCCGGGTCTTAAGCAAGAGAGAGCGAGAGTCGTGCGAGAGAGGAAGAAAAATCTCGCCCAATTTATCGGAACAGAACACCATCTACGCGCAGGGGAAAAAGAAAAAGAGAAAAGGAAGAAAGAGGCCGAGTTTTTAACTCAATTGGGCCAAAATAATTAACTCTATTTGGGCCAAATGATTTTACTCGCTTGGGCTGAAAGATTTACAATAAAGGGCCGAAAATGATACCTTTGGGCTGAATTTAATAGCTAGAGAATGGCCCAAATTAAACAACTAAAGGGGCCGAAAATAAATTATCCGAAAGGACCGAAAATCACTGAAACGATTAAGACAGTTTCGAGAACAAATAAAATAAATAAATAAATTTGCAAATATAATAAATAATAAAAATAATCCCATAATTATCCATAAATTAACGGGAAATTACAAGATTACCATTCGAAGATGGGTGTTTGGAAAAGACAGAGTGATGGGAAAGAGGAATATTATCCTCGTCGGCCTGACGAGTTGCTTCAGCAGCATCTAGGGCCACTTCTGCGGCGTCATTAGTGTCGAAGGCTAGTCGAGATCGGCGTTTAAGAGGAATGTTGTCAACAATATCTTCGTCTGGTTCATTGATTAGACAATGAGGTTGGGACGGAGGAGAGGGAGTAGAATAATCAAAAGGGTGAAGAGCACGAAGAGACACAGCCTGGTAAACCTCTTCAAGGGAATTTGAAGGGGAATGGGGAATAGGTCGAATGGGTGGAGACGATGATGGAGAGGACAAATCTTGGCCGGAATGATGATCATTCTCGCTCGAAGTGGAGGAATCTGAAAAACAAAGGAAAGAGATGTCAAAAAGTAAAAAGGTTAAGGTTTTAAAGAAGAACAAAAAAGAAAAAGGGAGGAAGATCTTACGATGGTTAAGCAAAATTTCAGAAAAAGTGAACAATTAAGGACTTAGAAAATCAGAAATTGAAAAAAGAAAAACACATAAATTTAATATACAGGGACTTACTCATAGTTACAGTAAGGGGGAGGAGTCGAGAAGGTTGGAGACAGTGGTGACTGAAAGCGCCAGGAGCAACAAATTTGCAGGAAGAAAGATTAAGGGCACAAGCGAATACGAAATTTGCAAAGGTGGAAAAGCTGGAAAATTCTAAGTACGGGTATTTATACTTATATAAGGAAAGGAAGGTGAAGAGTTAATGAAGATAGCCATTGGATTAAAGTGAAAGCTAACGGCTGGGAGAATTTAAAGAACGCGGATAACGAAATAGGGCGGATCGCGAGAAGGCATGATGATTGATGTACTGGAAAAACAGGACGCGTGGTAGAATAAAGTTGCATTAATGATAAAGGGTAAAAGAAGGACGGAAGAGAAAACCAGCTAAGTGGTCGTAAAATAGAGACAAAACTTACCAGATGGTCGAGATAGGGAGAAACCGAGGAGGCGAACAAAAACTCACTCTTAGATCGAGTCATTTAGATTCGACCAGAGTGGGGGGGACTAGATGATATAGGATATTATATACCTAAAGGAATATACCAGTTCACCACGCCGGTCACTCGAATCTAATGACTGGAGAGCCACGCTGGTCGAGCAATATTAAGCCGGAGAGTAGTGGTCGAATACCACAGGATATCTGGTAGAAGATCGACCTATCGAATAGAAGATCATTGGATCGACCACCGCGCAAGTGAAGAGCAATAGGGGGCGTGACCTAAATGTGAGAGAGCGCGTGAACTTCCAAGGGAATTTTCAAGGAATATTCAGAGGAATAATTATCCCATGTGCAGGGGACACGTGGTGGGAATATATTGGTGTACAGTGATAATGGCGATAACCACCTCTGACACACGCACACTGTGTGTGTACGGACAGCTAGATCCGGGCAGCTTTGGGCAGACAGCTCATCACATCCGGGCAGCACCTAGGGCAGGTATCTCACCTCTATATATAGGGGTGAGCCTTTTTTGTTACATACGATTTATCCATTTTTTACTCTTGAGAATGGAGTAGAACAAACACTGACTTAAGCATTGGAGGCTCTTCACCGGAAAACCCCTCTGGTGTGAGAGTTCTCTGCAGGTACGCGGCATTCTACCAGCGAGGAGGAAGAAGGCGAGCCGATTTCCTACCGGTCGGAGTGTTTGGCATTACCAGAATCATTCATTGATTACTCTTATTCCTAACAACCCAATTCACTTTGATTTCGTAGTTTCCATGTAAGTTAGTTTCAAATTAAATACAAATATTAGTAAATAAAATACATAAATAAATAAAGAAAGAAAATTTGCAGGAGAGATCACTCCAACCGACTAGCCAAACGTGCAATTTTTGCATTTCAACTTTTCAGTTTGCTATTGGGTCCCTTCTTTTTTACAAAATGGCCAAATGAGTTTAAAAAATTCTTAGTTTTTATTTTATTCTTTAATTGTAAAAAAAAATGGTAATAAGAGATTTTTATTCTATTCTTTAATTGTAAAAAAAAAGATGGTAATAAGAGTAATCACAGCGGTTTTGCAGAAAAAACTTCTACTCAGCGCAATAATAAAGGTCCACGTACCAAGAAGGATAGATATCATCTTGACGTTTCTTATCACTTTCATTATGAGAATGGCTACGCGACTGTCGCACTTTGTTTGCAGTTCTACCAAATTATTTTTTTATATTTGCAGATATTTTTTATCCAGTTAAGCGATATGTCGCACATTGTTCTTTCTGTTATGAGTCGCATATTATTCACATAAGCGATATTATTCACTTTGTTTAATTTTTATATATTTTTGACATCTATTATGCAGACATTAGACGATTGATCTCATTTTGTTATGCGAATAATTTTTGCGTCTTTTCTATACTTGTAAGCACATTAATAACAGCGACACTTGTACCGAAGAGAATATCTTCTCGAGGATACGCATTGATAAAGTATTGTTGACAATTTTTTCAAAAGATAAATAGGAGTTACAATTTTGCTAGGATTTCCTATTTACCTATAAATAAGAGTTTTAATATCATAGGGCTTACAAGTTTCATCATCATTCTTCCTTCATTTTTTTTCTAGAGCTTACAATGTGCCCTTTCGGACAAAATTTGTCCCAGTCGTCTCTTACAAATTGGACGACTGTAGAGACTTACAGACAGAAAGAGTTATACGTCGAAGTCGTCTTAGGAGGGCAGTCAACCCATGCAGTAAGCTTTTCAAAACAAAGTTATATGCTGAAGTCTTCTCTGGAGCGAACCTTCTCGACTTGCAGTAGAACCTTCTTTTTCCTCTCCTGCTCTAGTAGTTCTCCTTCTCCTTGTCACTACATAAGTGAAGAAAGGAGAAGTAGCTACTACACATAGGGAGTATGCCGAAGTGCATCCTCGGACATGATTTCTTTTTCTTCCTTCACAACCATTGAGACGATTGTCGTTGGACACAATTTTTTGTTCTTGGCTCAATATTACCACTATTGTATCAATGGAAAAATTTCAAAATTGGTCCTATAACTTGGCCACTGTCCAAAAAACCACCTCGATATTGACCACTTTCCATTTAGGTCCTATAATTTTTCGATTTCATCAATTTTGGTCCTTTTTATCCGCACCCTAAATTAAAAAGTGACGTGGCATGATGTGTCAGTTTTTCAATGTTACATGGCATGATTATGATCTACGTGGCGCGTCAATTTTGGTCCTAGAATTTGTCGATTTCATCAATTTTGGTCCCTCTTTTCATGCCACGTCATTTTTTAATCCAGGGTGCGGATAAAAAAGGACCAAAAATTGATGAAATCGACAAATTATAGGACCTAAATTGAAAGTGGTCAATATCGAGGTGGTGTTTTGGACAGTGGCCAAATTGTAGGACCAATTTTGAATTTTTGCCATTGTATCAATATATGGGAGGATTGAAGAAGGAGGAGATTGTATCCTTTTACTTGTAAACTTATCTCCATTTTATAAATAGATTTTTAAGGAATATAAGATCATGTAAATTTTTTTAAGTGTAAAATCTTTTGTGTTGATGTACACTGTATATTTTTAACTATAACTCTATAATTTTTGGAGTTTTTGTTTAATATTTATTATATTTTGTTTTGTTGGACTTCCAGCTTATTGAACTGAGTTGCAGTGTGGTGTTGATATATGTTCCGATGTAGAGGATGTAAACCCTAATTAGGAGGAAATAAACCAGCGTCTGGTCCAGTATGTGTAAATGAACTACGACGATGCAAGCGCAACCTTTACGTATCAGTCAGTATAATTACTACATGAATAAAGACGAGAACAACTATCGAGTAATAACCGCAGAGTACGAATAACCAAAATAAAATTAGATATTAATTAAGATGTGATATGGGATATTATATATTGGACCGGTCCAGCGGGTCGGCAGAATAAATCGAACTAATCGACATAGTCGAGAGTATACTTTGGTCAATGGCAAACAAAGATCACGATCACGGGAATCCTGGGAAATCTAGCAGATCTCAGCGTCACATAATACTTGGTCGAAGGCTTTAGTGGTCGAAGCAAATGGTCGCGAAATTGACTATTCTCTACACTAGGGGCAGCTTAACAGCCTGCCCAGATCTGGTCAAGCATAAGAGCCTCCAAGGGAATCTCGGATACACGTGTGTGGGACACGTGGTGTGAGCTAATTGGTCTAGGTCGATAATCGTTTCTGACACATTCCTAACACACCTCCCTAGGAATTGTACTATCAGGAAGTCGGGCAGCTCTAGGGCAGCCAGCTCATCAATTCCGGGAAGCTCCTAGAACAGGTAGCTCACCCTTATATATAGGGGTGAGCTTTATGAATTTCACACATTCTCTCA